CCAAAACTCAAGGAAAACAGCATCAAGTTCAAATCTGGTGTAACCAGGGCTATAATAGCTCAGTGACAGTGTGCATGAGACAGCCCTGGATTCAATCCCTAGAATTGCAAAAGGAAGGAAAAGAAAAAAGTTGGTGCGACCATCTTGCTTTTGCCAAGGCTGTCTTGAGTAGCTTATTCCAGAACTTGGTTGGAGGACCTTGCAAACTTGCAAGGTTATACTAAAATGTACATACTACTTGAATTTACTAATCTAGATCATATTTCAAAAGTATTCTTGTCAGAATGTATCAAGTATGTAAAAAAGGAAATACGCTAGTTACTATAAATGATAGGCACAGGAGGTTATTCATCTATCCCAAATTTTTAAAACATTTTTGTACTGTACACAAATGATAGGCAGAGGGAAAATGTTGCAGCTCCTTATGAGCACCATAAAGTTGTACTGACTTAAATTTCAATTGATGCTGTTAGGAGTCAACAGATCTAGGTATTAGGGTAGTTACTATGCACTCCCATCAGAAAAGTTCAGCTTGCTCTGCTTGGCATCAAATCTACATCCACATTCACACAGTGAATGTTGCCCCAACATGTACATACGAAATGAGATTAGCTCAAGGAGGCAAAGATGGAGTTGGAGGAAAAAGAGATTAATTTTTTATGTTTAGTTCTACACCTAAGTTAATTTTGTTCGGATACCAGTTTTGTAGCCACTGGGAACTTGCCCAATTGGTGTCATAAAAATATAGCAAAGCCAATTCTTAAGAAAATACTATTCTTAGCCTCAATGATAAAAACAGAAAGTAATGCAGGAATTAAGTATATTTAGTTGAGGAAACAGACAAAGTATGACCAGTTCAATTGGTGAATTAAAAGATTTTTATTTTTATTTCTTCAAATTATTACATTCAACATGTTTTTGCTTTGTGTTGTCATATAAACCCTGATAAAACTCCTTCAGATAGGCAGCATGCTAAATGGTAAATGAAATGTTACTCCCAGCCCCAGAATACATTTTTTGATAAAATATTACATTATTCTTACATAGATTGATGTATTAGGTGTCCTATTTTTCATTGCATCTGGATTTGGGGGATAGCTGATAGCTTTTCTAAATAAGGTTGTAATTCTAAACCTTTGCTACTGCAGTAACAAAAAATGGATATGGCTAGAGTAACCAGAAAACATTCCTAACCGTCAAATAGAAAAATAAAGCCAGTTTGTTGTCCCCATGATGCCACTTAGTGCTATTTAGCTGCTTATAATGTCTCATAGAACAGATTTTCTTCCCCACTCTTTTAAGTGCTAAACCACAGCACCACCTGTGGCTTTTACAAACTGATTTGTACTTTAAATGCATTTTCTGAAATTTATTTTACAAATATATTCCTGATTTTGGGTAAGCTTCAAGTTCTATATACATCAGGTCTAAGATCTTACTAGGTGGACTCTAGAAAGACCAAGGATAACTGCTCCTCTCAGAGTAGAAGCAAATCACAGCAACATAAACTAAAACAAATCAAAAGAAGCAAAGCCCATGTCGACATCTGAGGATTTCAGAAAAACACAAAGTGGCAGAGTGGATTTTCAAAAAGTCATTTATTGATAGGTTCAGATCCTTTGCTTCTCTCCCAGAGTTCTGCATATGTTGTTCCCTCTGCCTTGAAGTGTTTATCTCCCTTGAATCCAGAAGAGTGGACTCTCCAAGTACTTCCCTTCTTGACAGAACTACATCTACTTGTCTGTGTCCCCTCCGTTGTTAGATCATGAGGTCCTCAAAAGGAAATCCCTGTGCCACTCCACCTAATCATCCTCAACCTGTAGCAGGTACATATTAAATACTTTTGTCAAACTGTTTGGCTTGGGCTACAAAGTCAAAGACTTAGAACAGGACTACACAAAGTTACAGCAGGTGGGCTGGGAAGGATTCTAACTTGCAAATGACATGCTCTTCCTTGGAGTGACTGCTACCCAATTCCTCTCAACAGGTGTCAAGCACAAAGGTAGGTCAGCTCCACTAGTGCCAGATCTTCAGATCCTTCAAAAATAACAAATTCTGGATTTTTCAAGGGAATTTCTGGAGTTTAAAAAAATGGCCAACCACTTGGTGTGGGCCCAGGGAAACAGGTCCATAGGCCATATATAGCTGCCAGTTTTCAACCTTTGCCTAAAGCCTCTCCCAGATCACTAAGTCCCAAGAAACCTCAGTCATACACTGGCTCTTGCTTCCTCCCACTGGTTGAGAAGATAGGTTCTAGCAAAACAACAGGGGTGGGTGGGTGGGGTCTCTTAATCTTACTTTAGACAAGTTTTCTAGTACAAAAAATTTAAATCTGGAATTTTATAACTTGAAAATCACTGACACTAGGTATAACCATGAACAATGCTATCTATAGTTCTTATGCTGGTCTTTAATTACTTGGAAGTCTTACTAAGTTCAATCATTTTCTAGAATGAGACTATTTCATTAGCTGTGGTCCAAGATGTCCTCAGCCCAAGAATTGTTATAAGTGACAACTGTTGTTAATAATTTCTAAATTTGTAATATTAGAGTTATCAATTTATTCTGAAAAAAA